TCAAAGCCAACAAAATCGTCGGTCCAGCCATTTTCTGATGTTGCAATGCTAGAAAACCATTGTAAGCATTTTGTTTGCATATTTAATAATATTCTCACATGGTATCTGGTTCAGTAAACCACTCTGGACACTTTGTTGTCCCAGCAAAAACAAAACTGGGTGGAATATCACTACTTCCATCTGTGCAAACAGCTTCGATGATGGTTACAAGCTGCAGATCATCGCTCTTGAGCTTATATTTTTATTTATCGGCATGTGCAAAGAAGAACTTCTGTTGAGAGCCTCGTCTTCCTCCTCCAAGTTGAATTCCTTTCTCGTCCATGTTGTACACGTTCTCCCAGGGAATCTGCTACATGTCCATATGGTCCTTTAGCAACTGGAAATGTGCCTGAACTGTCGTGTAGTTGAAGGCTTTTGCTCGCTTCGGATCAAGGCCAGAACCACAGCCTAACTTCAGTTTGGGATGTCAACCTAGAAATCATCGAATCCAGGATTTTGATGGGCTGCTGTCTGGTACGCTCTTTCCTTGTTCATGCATTAATGCCTGAATCTTTGGTCATATAGTGCACTTGTTTATCAGGTGACCTGTTGCTGAAAGAAACCTGATCCAGTCAACAAGTATTGCTTCAGATGCTGGTGACAGAAGCAGCTGAGCAAGGTGAGCCTTCATTTTTGGTGCAGCTTCATCTCTGCAGCATCGTCGCAAGGTAAAATAGGGAACATTGAATTTCTCTGCTGCATCTCGGTAGGTCTTGCATTCTCCACATTGTAAAGCCACCTGTGCATCGGATAAGTGTTCTTCAGTTTCTGGACTGACAGTGCGAGTTCCTTTGGTCGTTCTCTGGCTTGGAGTCTTTGGGGGGCTGTGCTGATGAGTAGATTTGGCCATTGTTTGGTAGGAGAGTGAACATTGAATAATTTGACTTCGACATGTTTGTTGATTTGCCGAGCACCGGCATGCGGAGTTTTAAATTGTCACATCCAATACCTCTGGAAATGCGACATCATGACTTTCAACACTTCCTCATTCTTGTGAGCACTTAAAAACTATATGACGTGATGGTCTCAGATGTATCATTGATATTACAAAGTTATACCACACCAGGATCTGACATTCATGAGATATTCCCATGTCACATCTTTACAAAACACTATTCTGGCCAATGTTCATCGGTTTGTGGCATGCCTTTTGAATTTTTGAGCAAAATAAAATTACATCTCTCATACTACACATTCAGTCAGCCCACATAAAAAAAACCAAGCTGCAAAAATGACAGGAATGTGGTAAGAAATGCAATTTGCACATCCTGAACCGTTTGCACATGCCGATCACCCATAGTATCTATTCTCCTAACGCAACTATTCGGCGGTGAACATTGTTTTGATGCGTAACGTTGGCCTTTTGGGACTTTGACTTTTGATTCTCGGCGGACGGACGTGAGGGATATATAGATAACCAGGTAACGTGCGCATGGAGAGGGGAGACTTCTTAGGAATCCGTCTGCTGAACGGGATGATGGGTACACCGTCTATTGTGGTAGCTAGAGCTGTGAGATGCTCCCGCAGAAGGGATGACGCGTGCAACGGAAGGGATGAGAAAGACGAGCGTCGTTTACGCTCCTGAGGTCACCCAATAGGCTCAGGAAGACCACTGGAGGCGCCATTATCTACCAAGAGACCTTCGGATAGGAGTGGTTGGAAGGAAAGACAAAGTTCAGGGCTGAGCGCTGCTGAAGCTGAAGAGGCGGCGGCGGAGAAATGCCAAGCCATGGAGTGGTCTCTCAAGTACAGCACGCGACTAGATTTGGAAGACTTGTGGCCATGAATGGGCTGCACGAGAATTACGTGTCGTGGTTGACGTTGAAGCGTCTGACAAATATCGGGCTGTCATGGCCTCTTCCATGCGTACAAGTCTGTCCTTCTCCACCCACTAAGCCAACGACAGCGCGCCCCTCACTCGCCCATCTGCGGCACCTCGCACAACGGCTTGCGAATATTATGCTTGTCACGGTACCCTAACATGCATGCCTCGCACGTAGAGGATTGCTTCTATTCATTCTGCACTCTCTCCCAGAGCCCAGGAGAAGGAGATGGTGCTCTCTCAAGTCCCGTCGCTTCTACCTCTCGCCTCACATAACCCAGTCCGCCTTAGAACAAGTTGCCTTACCGAAGGTTGGTTATCAACCTGCCATTCCTCCCAAAAGCACGATAGGACTGTCCCAAATTATGAAACTCCCCTAACAGGGCGCGCTCGTGCACGGACGAAGGGAGTGCGTCATGACCATCTCCACCGCTACCCCTCTTTTCGTGGCTAGCCAGAGAACTTGTATTCGCCCGCAAAAGCATCAGTCAGCTGGTTTTACTATGACTCACGTATTTCCTTATGGCCGTCTTTGATCATCCGGCGTTCCCTTCCTCATATCCCCTCGCCTACAACCGCTATCGAGTCCCAATATGCCGAGCGCCATGCCCGTTGAGGTGCCCGTCTCCTCATCCAAGCTCGATCACTCCCTGCAGTGAGCTTGAACTGTTCGACCTAGCGCGACTAGTAGCTGACAAAAACAGGTTCGTATTATCATTACCGCACAATCCTGTGTAAAACCCATCTGAACGGAACGCGGCACCCAAACCGTGCTGGTTGGCCATTCGACAGGAGAGAGTTGCTCACGCAGAGACAGCTACTATGGAGAAAAAAAGCTCCAGAGCCTCAACAGAAATTTCATATAATCGCCGTGTATAGTATCTCGGAGCTGTCCACTAGTTATCTGCGATCAAAATTCAAGCGTGGTCGGAACTCTTTCTGATGACCAATTGCGAAGAAAACACTTGGCTCGCCGCGCATGAATCAACGTACCGCCAAAGCGTCAAATTTGAACTCGGGAGTTGGGACGGGGATTGACTCTGCCTGACCCACCCACGGTGCATGCGCAGACGCACTCCAACAAAGCAGAGCTGGAAACATGCCTGCCTTAGCGGACACAGCATCCTTGACCGCACTCGGACTTTCAAAGGCATGTCTATTCTGTTACGAGCGACATCCAGTTTCGAGGCTCAAACCCAAACCCGGGTTGTTACGAAATGGATACAACTTCAAGCAGCTCTCGGAGATAGAGTACTGATTCATCTCGCACAGCGATAGAAATGCCAAAAGATATACGTAGAGCCCGTGCATGATTCTGCCAGGTAGACATCACCCAGCAGTTTCTAATCACAAAACCATCATCTAGAAAAATAATATACAGAACACAACTGTGCCGATTTGCATTACCCCTCTTTCGAACGCTGATGCCCCAAAAATATGATAGCAGGTATACACTCTTGCTTATCAAAGGTGGGTGGAGAACATGGATACAGAAAGAGCCAACAGCGACCTTTCCTACTGGCCAGGGTCACCGAACTTTGAAGTTACAAGTTCTTGAATCGCTGAAAACTAGGGTTGCGCACGAAACCCCCAGTTTCGATACACCCCGGTTTCGGACCGGTAAGTTACCGGTAAGAAACTGGTAAGAAACCACAGGTCAGTGGAGCATATTTCATTGAGGTAACTTACCGACCATTTGACAGAGAGAAGGATTCTCAGACTTAGATGTGTATAAAGTGTTGGAAATAGATGTCGGCAGGCATGATGAACGCGAGGGGGTATGGCTCGAACGAACGTATATTGACGGACAGATACGTAGGTGGTGGTGGTACGAAGCCAAGAAGCGGTAATGATTGGTACGAAAATCAAAATAAGGTAAAACAAAAGACGGCGAGCCGTCGGCCTGGTGGCTGTGAAACCATCATCCTCAACATAAAGAAATAAGAAGACATAGCCAGAGAATTCTGATGGGTATTGGGACAGAATTCACGAGTATTTGAGGTACGACAATGGGGCAGCGTAGCGTCACGGCGTCGTACAGAAGAATTTGGAAAAATGGCTCCGCGATAGTCACGTGAATGGTCCCGTGACCTGCAAGAAACGGTAAATTACACGGCCAGAGGCTTGTCTGGACGGGGGTTGGACTGAACTGAACCAATTTCTGGCTGGAATACCAATCCGGATTGTGCATCAAACTGAGCTCCTATGAGTCCAGGCAACCGGAAGCTGGTCTTCACTCATATCTGAGCCAGGTTCAGCCGAGATTAAGTCATGTGATACAGTCAAGTGATGTTGAACTTCAGTTCTATCGAGAACCTTCAACGTTGAACCTCACCACCATGGTCCATTCCATTGTTCTGTGACTACGCACATATGTTGTGCCATCGCTCATTGTGCTGTTCTGTGGCCTGCCTCATGGTAACTCTGTCTCATCGTGTCCTGTGCTATTGCTGGTTCTGCCTAGGCTGTCTGTGGATCTGTCTTACATGCTCTGAGCTCTCTTGGTCCTGGTTCTTAGTGGATTTATTACTGATTTTCTGTGCTTTATGTCAGGTTGTCTACATTTTCCGAGTCAGGTTGATCAGGTGTATGTGGTAAAAAGGCTTCTCAGGTATGTTACATGAGTTGTTGCATGACTTTTGGCCTCATTTTGAGTTCACCAACAGCGTTGACTGTACTATGCCAGTGTGTATTGATACTATCATTCATGTATATACATTTTCTGCGCAATATATGTGTATAATCTCATCCGAAATGAAAAGAAGTGTGGTATAGCACTGCAAAGCCCATTGTGGGCTACCGGAATGTGATTATTAACCGGGAAAAGTGTTGGGGATACACCCCAGTTCAACCCAGTAATGAGCCAGCCTACCTAAAACTAGCCTGGAGCCAGGTCCGCCAAAACTGGTCTTATCCCTGATCGATCCCGGACTGAAGCGACAATTTCAAAAAGCCAGCTTTATTCTGAAATCTGCTCCGGTTGTGTACCGTACCGGTAAGAAACCCCCTAGGGAGGGTGGGTACAAAACGGTATCAAACCCCCCCTGGAGGTTTCGTGCGCAGCCCTACACCAAACTTTGAAGCAACAAGTTCTTGAATCGCTGAAAACTTCAAAAATTTGGGATTATCGTTACAATATTTCGGATACGGGGAATCGAACCCTGAGCTGCCACGCACTACTGATGGCACCCTATTAGTGGTTGATGAAAGGCGGCAATGTTAGCCGTTACACCATATCCGACATGACTGTGCTCCGTATGATTTATAAGATAGAGAATGACTTCTCCGTGGCGGCAGAGTACATTGACGCCTGGGTCAAGATGCGTGGTCCCCGAGCATTGCATGAAGAACCGTTCTGGGGGAATGACTAGAAGAACGCGTTTCTCCAGCTGCAGCTACCATCCCGTGCAGAGGAGCGGTGCATGAGACACCCCCCTTCGAGAGGAGCCTCCTCTGCTAGGGTCGTGTCTTGGAGATAAAAAAGTAGATTGATAACCAAGTGCGGTATGGCATCTCGCTGCGTCGACAGAGTGAGTTGAAGTTGGGGTAGAAGAGACGGGACGGGAATTTGGAATGCCGTACCCTCCTCCTGAGGGTGCGCTTTGGGAGTATCATCAGCATGCGAGGTGGCCCAGAAAGGTGGAGTAAGTATCCTCAGAGCATAAAGGGCGGCGAGAACAGGCGAAGAGAGAGTGTGGGTGCGAAATGGATGGAAGCAGTTCTCTTACATGACGATGCCCTACAATGCAGCCAAATTCGTGATTTGCACTCAAAGTTTTTTTACCAAAACGTTGAAGAGTCGAGGCCCTGTATAATCAGATACAGGGAATCGAACCCCGATGGGAGGTGACAACATTAGCCGTCATACCATATCTGATACCGGTATCAGTACGGAAACAATCCATAGGACAAGAGGCAAAAAATCTCAAGAAGACAGCGAGGGGTTCGTACTGAGAGGGAAAGGTTTACACAGTCGGGTCTCTAGCTCGCGGCCCAGTGGAAGGGATAGATGAAAGGAAGGGCATGACCGCAGATTTTGGAGATGCGCGCGCTTCATTCGACGCGAAGACAAATTCAGGGTCAACGGCGGAGAAATGCCGGCCCTATCTGGGGCCCCGCTTGCTTCTATCTCTCATGGCCTCTCTCTTCCGCGCGTACAAGTTCGTGCTTGTTCCTCTCTCTCAGCTACCCACTAAGCACATGACAGCGCGCTCCTCATCCGCCGGCCGATGCTCGCGCAGTGCGGCACCGCGGCGCTCCTCTTCGGCACCGGCGACATCATCGCCCAGCAGCTCATCGAGAAGAAAGGCCTCCGACGGCACGACCTCACCCGCACCGTGCGGCTCACCTTCTACGGCGGCGCGCTCTTCGGGCCGGTGATGACCTGGTGGTACCAGTTCCTCAACCGCATCCAGTTCGCCTCGCCGACCCGCGCCATTGTCTACCGCGTCTGGCTCGACCAGGCCGTGCTCACCCCCTTCGCCGTCGGCGCGTTTTTCACGTGCATGTCCGTCCTCGAGGGCGTCCCCCACGAAGCGTACCCGCGCATCCAGGCCGCATACGTCCCGACCATCCTCCGCAATTGGGGCGTCTTCATACCCACCCAGATCATCAACTTTGCCCTCGTGCCCCACCATATGCGGTTTGTCGTCGTCAGTGTGGTTAGTTTGTTCTGGAGTGCGTGCTGTCTTTTTCTGCGTGGACTGCTGCTGACACGGCGGTAGACACGTACCTCAGTGCGGTGAATGCGCGTCAAGCAAAGTTGGAGCAGGAGGAGAAGGAACACGAAAAGGTACCCATGAAGATAGTGTAGCCGTACGTCCCCTTTCCCGTCGTCATTAATGTCTATTCATCTTTCTGGCAGGTATAGATTCACTGTAGAGCCTCCTAGATACATCTATATATCTGCCATGATTTTTTGCACGTCCATCGTCACCGCCTTCTCTGAGTTGGAGACAACAAGCGACAAAGATTCGTGCAAGCCATACCTCCGTGCCTCGCCGACCGTCGAGGAAGCACGCCATGTAACGGCAATTCCTCAGTCTAACACGAGAATCGCTCTAATTGTCCCTTGTATTCATTCAAAGCCTTATCTGTATCATCAAACCTCACATCTAAACGATCGGATATGGTGTAACGGCTAACATTGCCGCCTCTCATCAACCACTAGTAGGGTGCCATCAGTAGTGCGCGGCAGCTCGGGGTTCGATTCCCCGTATCCGAATCATTTGGATGACGAGGTTGATTTTTGAAGATTGCGAATTTGCGATTTAACTTGTCTGGTTACTCGTATAGGGCTGCGCATGAAACCTCCCCTGGAGGTTTCATACTGTTTTGTACCTACCCTTCCTGGGCAGTTTCTTACCGGTACGGTAATTTATCGTTTCTTACCGGTCACGGGACTATTCACGTGACCACCATGGAGCCGTTTTCCCAAAATTTTCTGTACGACGCCATGACGCTATGCTGCCCCATTGTCTTACCTCAAATACTCATGAATTCTGTCCCAATACCCATCAGGATTCTCTGGCTACTTCTTCTTACTACTTACTGCTCTGTGAAGTAAGGCCGAGGGGAAAACCTAGGTTATTTACTGAATTTGGTTTTGTACAGTATTATACCATGTGTTGTACCATGTATTATACCTGAGGGGTCGAGGGGTTGATTAGCTGTGTATAATACCTTAGTCACGTGCTTTAAAAAAAAAACCCCCTGATACAGCGACGTACAATTGAGCGGCAGCGATCTACTCCAAGTACAGGCACTCCTGGAGAGGATGACAACTATACCATTGATTTTGATTGATGTTGTGAATAGGGCCGAGGGGAAAACCTAGGTTATTTACCGAATTTGATTTTGTACAGAATTATACCATGTTTTATACCATGTATTATACCTGAGGGGCCAAGGGGTTGATTAGCTGTGTATAATACCTTAGTCACGTGTTGTAAAAAACCCGATATAGCGACGCACAATAGTCATACAATTGAGCATTGAATCCACTGTTGATGCCCATTGCCCATTGATACATTGTTTAATTACAAAACTCCATGCCATTGTTGCCAGGGAAATTTGAGAAGCTTCGAAATTCATAGTAAAGATTAACAATGTAATAATAGAGCTGATATTCTCAGAAATTGAGCTCATAGTGCAACTGCGACACTGGATACAAGTTGTCACATCTCAATTCTCCTCCTTCTAACAGTACATACACCATGCCAATAGACCAGCTAAACTTCACAAAGCTTGCAGTGCTCTGCCCCACCCCCTCATCATTTTCTGATCTCATCCTGCCTTCTGGAGCTACAGTCAAAGATCTTCTCGCATTTAAACAACTGCCACCAGCCACCTTGATGTTGTGGGCCGTAGTAGTCAATTATTTGTATGAAATACCTGTCTTTGACCAGAATGCGACACATTTGAGCCTCAGGTGACCGAATTTGGCATCGATAATGGTCAGAGTGCTCAGCGCTGTTGTCGATGGTGGCGACAAGGCGAAAAACGACTTAAAAAAAGAGAAAAAAGCCGTGGAATTCTGAATTTAATACATCGCGTGACAGGGTATTATACCATGTATAATACCCTGTATAAAACCTCTCCCACAGCGACGTAGGTATTATACCAGTGCTCGATCCCGCAGAGGTTTTCCCCTCGGCCCTAGAACCGTAGTAGTCGATAATCCATTTGAAATACCTGTATTTGACCTGGATACGACATATTTGAGCCTCAAGGGACAGAATTTAATGTCGATAACGGTCAGAATGCTCAGCGCCGTTGTCGATGGTGGCGACAAGGCCAAAAACGACTTAAAAAGGTGTGAAAAAAGCTGAAGAAAGCGCTGGAATTCCAAATTTAATTACATCACGTGACAGGGTATTGTACATGGTATAATACCCTGTATAAAACCTCTCTCACGGCAGCGTAGGTATTATACCAGCGCCCGATCCCCCAGAGGTTTTCCCCTCGGCCCTACTGCGAAGTGAAATCACAGAAACATTAGTGGTAATATTGTCACGTGGTCGGTAAGTTACCTCAATGAAATATGCACTACTGACCTGTGGTTTCTTACCAGTTTCTTACCGGTAACTTCCCGGTCCGAAACCGGGGTGTATCAAAACTGGGGATTTCGTGCGCAACCCTACTGGTTACTCGTATGACCCTGACGTTTCTTTTTGAAATATGTATTTGTTTATTTATTCCAACGGAGAGAGTCAACTCCCGACTCGGAATCCGGGCCTCACTGGACTGTTGAATGCATGCTGCAGCCTGGCGCCTTGCATTACAAGTGAATTGGACGTAATACTCGCTTCTAGTGTCTCAGCATGGGCTAGTATAGCACGACAGGATTGATCAAAGAGTAGATGATCCTCTAGTCGGTCTTGTCAATCTGTGCTTGGCAGCTCGATGGCATGCATTCATTGATGCGTCTAGGACGTCTCAGGAAGTTATCTCTGGTATAAAGGGACCCGAAATCCTACTAGAAGTCACCATCAAGGAAAGCTCTATCCCAGTTCTATTGAAGATGTTCTCTAAGAGTGAAGGCTGTCTCTTGCCTGCCTTCATTCGTATGGCTGATGATCTTTAGTTTTGATCCTCTTACCCACCCTTTTTGGCATCGTAAACGCAGGGCCCACTGGCAGCGCAGGTCCATTGCGCTGTATGGTGCACTACTCACTAGCTGAATCATTTCCATCTAGACGATACATTGGGACGATCGTTGAATGCCCGTGATGTTGCGCCCGTCCTCGACTTTACCCATTCCACTTGGATCTGGACAGGAGAGCAGACTGGACCATCCGATGTCGTGCCTGTCGGGGTGCGGCCATTCCGTAAGGTGATCCCTTCCTCCAGCACCAAATGTCCAGTGTGCGTGACAATCCTCTTATCTTGGTAAGCCTATCCATCAACTATCCTTGTGTGCATGTACTCAATCGTACATAGTGACGATCACTATTCAGTCTTCGTCAATGGAAGAGAAATTGGATCGGGGGCTTGCTGGCACTCCACCGCCCCCTTCATGTCATCCTACGTCTTCACTGTTGGCCTGGATCCAGAAGGCCATAACGTTGTTGCCATCGCTGGAAAGAACGTCGGCAGACCAGCTGGACTTATCGCTACTATGCTTGTGGACTATTCGGATGGTACCACCGAAACAATCGTCATTGACAATACTTGGAAGACCCTGAAAGCTGCTTCTACTGGTGGATGGACCAGCCCCAGCTATAATGATACAGCATGGAC